GACATGTATTTTGTCTTATTTTATGATGAATAATTTCATAGTACATCCAAAAGAAAAGGCTTCCAAAGCCATCGTATGTACATATTGTTTGATAAACCGTAAATAATGATCAAGAAACAATATTCTACATGTACAATAATTATCATTGTAAAATAGATCATCATTAATACTATTAATAATATCAATAGCACTATTATTATTAATAACAATTACTACTAGGAACCACATATACACATACAGTACAAAGACAAAAAGAGTTAATCGGCTTGGGAAGTAAGAAAGGGAGACAAAAAAACAATTACATAATGGACCTAGCCACCTCAATAAGGAAGGAAAGGAATAGTTTGATAAAGTTACTTATTTCTCAAAAGCACACACATAGGTTACATGTAATACTGGTTACATGTATTACAATCTTATCAACACTTACCATGCATGATTTCAATTTCGCTTTTTTGGCACTCTGTCGCTTAAGTGACACAAATGAACAAAACACTCATTTAGACCTTTTCAGTCCTCCATTGTACCTCCAGGCGTGGCTAATTGTAGATTGAATATCATTCTGATTCACTTGTGTCATTTTACCTCAGTCTGATATCTCTGGTCTGATATATTGCTGTTATACAAAGAAGATACTGGATGTAATGCTACATTAATGAATCTTCACTCTGAGTGTAACAGTGCTGTTTACACTGGTGTATCATGATTTTATGAAGATGGCTGCCAGTCACATGGAGGGAATCGGGATTGCTTTTCTTGAGTTTTCTAAGGCTTACGAAGGTAATAGCAAAGTTGCAGCCTATTCTGACTGTATATCAGATGAGTATAGGTTGTTATAAAGATGGCAAAAGGACAATTTCTGAAGATTGCCATGTCAGTGGTCATTTTTGAGTGAAACAAATTATACAAGCAGTGAGTCAGCCTATTTTTAACATCTGATTATGATGCTTTTGCTTGAATTATTCAGATAGGCATGATAATTTTGTATATGGTGTCACTCTGGTTGCCGCCATGTTTTGTAGTTCGATTTGCTCAATTGAAGGTACATTATGTAGTATTTATCATAAGAATGTGACACTGAAAAGTATTCATTACATTAGGATCTTTCAAAGGATGCTGTATTAATAATGCCAATTAAGGTAAAACAGCAATTTTGGTGGTGCATTATTGGTATGTTTTGCTTTATATTTTCTGTAGGGTTCTGTACTCATTTTGATATAAGCTGTGTGTGGCATGATTACCTCTTACTTATAATGAACAGTAATGTATTGATATTATTTT